ACCAAAAATATTTCAAAGAGATTGTTGCGCAATCCGCACTTTTTATTTTCGGAAAGTCAGGTTCAGAGAGGTTAAGAAATTTGCCCAAGTTCACACACCTAAACCGGGATTCCTCAGACCAGACGGTCTGACTCCAGCGGTAAACCAGCTGCTGCTTCTAGAAGCACCACCTTCTCGCCTGGGGACAGGAAGAGGGGCGGCAGTTGAACGGATATTTTTTAGATCTTGAGCCTGGATTCTGCTGAGCACAATCAGGGCACAGGGTCTGATTCCAGGGAGACCCTGGAGGCTGAAAGCGGGTTTGGGAGAAGGAGGGTTGGGGGAGGGGGCTCCGGAGGAGGAGCCCCTGGAGGAGGAAGAAGAGCAGAAGTCACCACGGGGTTCCTGGGAGTGCTCGATGCTCCCGTCGGCATTCTCGATGCCTCCCAGGAGAACCTCTTGCGTCCTGGAACTGATCCGGCGCACACGTGCGCCAGACATTGCCCCCGACCTTGTCTTCCACGCAGCGGATCTCCCCCACCCGGTTCTCACCCGCTGAGCTCAGAGCTGTGTACGTCCTTCCCTCCTTCCCGTGTGGGGACCCCCACTCCCGCCCCGTGGACCAGTCTCCTAGTGCCTTCCCTCTCCCTGAAGCCGCTTTCTGTGGGCTGGACGTCTCTCATTACCTCATTTCTCAGAGTTTATCTCCCCCCAATCAGTGTCTGCCAGTGGGTCTCCCCTGCCGCCTTTACGTGGCAAAGATCAGAGTCCCCGGGGCAAAGTGACAGAACTCCTGCAGGGACGCCCGAGGGTGGCTTAGTAGTGCTGGGGCCGTTCCCTGGGACGCCGGGTGTCGGCGCGCTGTGGGTGCTTGATTGAGTTTGTGTGCTGGTTTTGTGTGCACACAGTGTGCAGCGCCTGTTGGTTTTGCGTGGTTGGGTGTCTGCGTGGGTTGGTTGTGGGTGTTGCCTCGCATGTGTTTGGGAAATCGCATGTGTTTGGCTGTATGTATCTGTTGACTGTGTGGGTCCGAGTGCTGGCTGTGCGTGGCTGGTGACTTGTGCGGGTTGTCTGTGTGTGATGAAGGTTGATCGGATGTGTGCTGGGTGTCAGCGTTCGTTGTAACACGTCTGGCATGGGTCAGTTCTGTGTGTGTTAGTGTGTGTTTGTTGTGCTGTGTGTCGGTGTATGTGCGCGGCGCGCGCGCGCGCGCGCAGGCGCTGTCTACCGCCGAGGGCGCCTAGCCGGGCGTCAGGCACCAGCCGGCGCTGCCAGAGCAGGGGCTGTGGGCGCCCGGGGCCGCGGGAGGGCGCTGCGGAGGAGGCCGGCCGGGGTGAGGAGAGGGTCGCCGAAGGCGTGGAGCAGGGGTGCGGCCGTGGGAGCTGAGTGGAGCGGCAGGAATTCCCAGAGTCTGGAGTGGGGAGCACGCTGGGGTGCCCTGGAGGATGGATCAGGGGCGGAGGGAAGGTTAAGGTGTTTCCCCGGACGGCCAGCGGCAGGGCTGGGGGAGTGTCCCGGCCCGGCCGCGGTGTGAGCGCCTGAGAGGGGCGGGGACGGAGCCGGGGAGGCCGCACGGCCCCGGGGGCTCGGCCAGGCCGGCGCCAGCCGCCAAGTTGAAAGGCGGCCGCGGCCTCTCGCGCTGCTTCCCATTGCGCCCCCGAGGGCTCCAGGCGGGGCGCCTGCTGAGGCCCGGCCGGCCTCTCCTCCGCGCCGGGGGTCGCTCGGGGGCAGTGGTCGGTGCGTGGCCCGGACCAGCCTCATGGACTGTAGGACTCACACTCAAGGCTCCGGCCTCGTGCTTCGTAACTGTCTTCACTGAGTCTCCTGCGCTAGCTGGGCCTTCGGCCTCGGGTCAGAGAGCGGAGAAGGGAACCCTCGCACCAGGCGCTGTTAGCGCGCGCTCTCCAGCCTCTCAGACTCCCTGACCGCCCAGGCCCCGCCGACCTGCACCCAGAGCTAGGAGCGTCCCAGGTCCCCTGCCGCCCCGTAACCTCAGTTCTCCGCTGGCTTCCACGCCACGGGCTTTGGTCTCGCCAGAGCGGTCAGAAGCGGAGTTCTTGCTAACCGAGACTTATGTCTCCTCCCCAACACAACGAAAATGCCTTCACAGACATTGTGCAGGGCAGGTGAGGTGTCCCTCCTGATCCCCAGGGGAACAGGGGATCAGGGCTAAAAGGAGTTAAATTCGGAGAGCTAGGGCCCGAGTTCTGAGGGGCGAGTTTTCCCAGACCCAAACTGCTGGCCTGGCACTGTGGGACCCCCAACGAAAGGGAGCCGGGCAGTGCCGGAAAAGCGTGGATCCCCGAGTTGGAATCTGTGTTCGGAAACCCTGTTCTCCCTTTTATTGGCTGTGTGACCTTGGGAAAACCGCGTAATCTCTCTGGATCCTTGTTTAAAAAAACAAAAAATCTAAATTTGTTGGGAAGCGTGGGGGAGGTGGTGCGCTCCGGAACTTCAGCACACAGTAGGCTGCGTTAAGCGCTGGCTCCTCCTCCATCACAACCTCTAAACGAGGTAGGTGGCGACTCCGAAGTGATTGATCCCGTTTCCTGCCGGGGAAGGAAATTGATCCGTAGAGGACCAGACGCGGGAACCCCAGCCCACTCCGTCCTCACTTGATAAACAAGCAACTGCGTTCCAAGGGCTGGGCTGGACGGGAGGCAGTGCCCCCGCCTCGCCTCGAATTCCCGCGGGACCCGGCTGAATCTGTCTCAAGTCCTAACCCCAGAGCGGAGCACCCTCCTGATGCAGCAACCGTTTATTGAGCACCTTATGTGTGCACGCCCTATGGAGGGAAGAAATCCAGAAACAAAAGCGGTGCAAAGAAGGGGCTGAACGAAAGAAAACAAAAATGGGGAAAACAGGGGACATAGGAATGAAAGGAAACTGGGACCCAAGGCCCGCATCAGGGCTGGGACGCGCGCGCAGGCGGGCACGGGCGGGGGTCGCAGGGCGGCGGCAGGTTCCAAACGGGCTGAGACTCTGAGTGGGGGAAGGGGGCGCGCCCGCCTCGCCTGCAGCTACCGACAGGCTGGAGCCTCTGCGCGTCTGCCGAGCTCGAGCCGTTGCTCATTACTGCAATTATGTAGCTCTAAGTTTGCCTCGACCCTAAATTGCCAAGTTTCGAGGAGCCGGGAGGCCCGTGAGCTTGGGCCGCGGGAGACACCCGATCCCGCCCTGACATTCCTCTCTCCCACACGCGTGGAAAACATTCCGGTGTGGCCGACGCACCGTGAGCTGAGAAGATTGAGATCTGCTCGGCATAACCGGGGCGGCCTTCCGCGCAGGGGATCGTTGACACGTCCCCAAAATCCCGGGGGCAAGGGAAGGATTCCCAGGCCCATTTCGCAGATGAGAAAACTGAGGAATAGAAACCGTGGTCTTCCCTACGCAGAGTCAGGCGGCTAGGAAGTGGCAGGGCTGGCATCAACCAAAGAGTTTCTCTGACTTCAAGTTCAGTACAAACCCTCAATATAGGAGAGTGGACAGGGGAGTTTCAAAAAGGAGCCCAGATTTGTGGAAGTCCCGGCGTCCCGCTCAATGACACTAGGGATGCTGAGTCTATACAGGGGGTGAACCTTCTTCCCGTGTCTGCAAGAAATAATGATGTACCTAAGCGCTTTTAAGGGGCCGCGTGGGCGCCGGAGTCGGAGACATTTTTAGATATCACTCCCCTCTCTTGGGGTTGAAGAGTACCAACTCGGGCCAAGCTTGTTAGCCCAGAGGCCGGGGACGCCCCCTGACTGATCATTGGAACTTCCTTTTCTTAGGGAAGGGAGTGGTGACAAGTTCAGACTGTAGCCCCAGCCGCGGGACAGAGCCTTTGTCAGAGCTACGGAGATCGAAGGATCCAAGACGCTGAGTACCTCGAAACTCGCCGGCACCCGCTGAGAGCCCGCCCCGGGTGCGTGCGAGACACCCCGCACTTTCTTGGAATTCGGAGGCCAACCTCCCTTTGGGGCTAGAAACCGCAGTGCGCCCCAGGCTTCCTCTCCACACCATAAGCCGGTCTCTCATCTGCAGAAATGTCTACCCTTCCCGTGTCCGACGTCAGGTACTTCGGGTTCTGACAGTCCTTGGTCTCCTGGCTTCCTCCTCGCAAAGGCTTCCCGGGGCTGCCCTGTCGTGGAATTTGGAGACGCCCCCACGGCCGGACAGAGGTGGAGGTGAGGGGGCGGGGCGGGGGCAGATCTGGCGAGAATTAAGTCAGGGCCCCCAGACTCGAAAGAGAACAGAGCGCTGCCTGGAACATAGTAGGCTTTATTTACTAGAGATCCTTTTCTGCCTTCAAACATGCTAGCAGAATTGCCCCCGGAAGGCTAAACTTCGGGCTTGTTCAAATATATTCTCCTGGTAGCCTGAATATAACATACTATATGAAAGAAAAACCCAGTTTGTAGGCAAGGCTCATGCAAAGGACACCCCCACGGCGCTTAGTGTATGGTCGTCCAGCGTTTTCAGCAGTTTTTTTAAAGGAGTCACAATGGGGAATGTGAAGGCACTCACATTCCGGCAACCTCAAAATTAGTTCCTCCAGCCGCGTCTACACTGACGACAGCGGCGGGGTGATTTAAGAGAAGGGAAGCGACGCCTCTCCATCCCCCACCTGGCCTCCTGTGGGAAAAACAGGTTTGCGGGGGTGGGAATTAGCTGTCTGGATTAGCTGTCTGCAGTCATCAAACCATTTGGGTGATTCTCTTTGTTTTCATAGACGGGTTAAAAAGGGAGAAAAAAGAAAAGAATCGGTTATGGGTCGCCTGAACAAGTGTCGATTTCAGCTTAAAGTGAATTGGAAAATTGAGCCTAATTATCCAAGGTAATTGCTTCAATTCTCCACTTGACTTTGCTAAGGCAGATCTGTCCTGTGTATTCAAAAAGGCACCCCCCTCTGTCCCTGAATATTGTTGTCACCTTTGAAAAGTTGCTGACACCAAACTACTACCTAACTGAAAAGCAACCATACATGTGAAGAGATGGCAAGGAGTAAAATTAAAAGACTAAACGAATGAGGAGATAATTTCTTGTAGCTTAAAATTAATTTATTTAACAAATATAGCTATAATATAAATGATAATAAAATTTCAAATATACAGTATATTACAACAATCCCTTCCAAAGGGAATCTTGAGAGCCACCCAAATGTACTGTTAAATAGAAACAGAAGTTTTTAATTTTTATTTTACAATTTCTTTCTGGTACTGGTAAGAGAGAGGTCCCTTCAACCTACCTTTGTCACGCATCTGTTTATCACTCCCCCCACCCCACCCCCCAAAACAAATGTTTTACTGTTGAAGTTCTTTTGAAGTTTTCCGGTGGCAAGACCCAGGATCTGCCTCTCCTGCAAAGTTCTTCTCTTTCTCCCCAACTGTTCTCATTTCCAAAATCTTCAAACATGAATTTTCTCTGTGCTTTTTCCTGCCAGGTGTTAGGACAGGAGGCAGCCATGCAGGAGGCACGGCCTCTCCGTCTGGTCCAACCACTAACTCGACTGGGGGCTGATACCTTTGGAAACCTCTCTGGCCTCAGTTCCCCATCTGTAACTCGAAGGGATAGATCTAGATTCTAGAAGAGCGTCATGGGACCCTCCCAGCCACTTTGGGGAAGGGAATGAGACTTCAGAGAGTGAACTCCGGGAGCGACAGAGGACAAACCGGAGCAGTGTGGGGGTTAAAGAGAAGGTGCCAGGCTGTGCTGAACAGGGGAGCACCTCGTGGGAAGGCTCCTGCTGTTTGCTGGAGGGATCGGCTGGCACCCTAGGTAGGCAACCCTGGGCCTTCTATGTCAGGTGGTACATACTGTAGCCGACGTGGGCTGTGTAGAGTCCCACGGGCGCCACCGGCAGCGCGGCGCGTTGGAAAGGGCCAGAGGCCCCGTAAAGCGAGGCGCCCGCGGCGGCTGCTACGGCGGCAGGGCCTCCGAGTGGGAAGGAGAGGCCGAAGGCTGCGGGAGGCAACATGGGTTTAGCGGCCATCTTCAGCTTCTCCAGCTCGGCCTCCTGCAGTCTCTTGGCCTTGGCGCGGCGGTTCTGAAACCAGATCTTCACCTGCGTCTCGGTGAGGCTGAGCGAGCTGGAGAACTCGGCGCGCTCGGCGATGGATAGGTACTGCTTCTGGCGGAACTTGCGCTCCAGCGCCAGCAGCTGGGCGGTGGTGAAGGGCGTCCGCGGCTTGCGGTTGGTCTTGTGCTTGCGCAGGGTGCAGGCCGGAGGGCTCAGCCGCCCTGAGGGGCCGAGAGAGAGAAATGCAGCGGGTTAAGAAAGTGGCGCGCGATCGGCCCTGATGTGGAAATAATAATTGATAACAACTCCCGCTATTCATTTGCGTCGAGCACCTCGGCGCCAGGCGCCCGCCTGGAGAGGCACTTGGAAAATGTCTTCTCCAGCTCCCACCGCAGGCCCACAGGGTAGTTTCCTGTCTACCCTTTGCAAATGAGGAAACGAAGCTTCCAGGTAAAGCTCAGACATGTTCAAAGCCCCATATAACTGGGAAGAAGCAAACAGCCCTTAAATCTAAGTGGCTGCTTACCAAGGCCTTCTCCCACCACCACTCACGGGTGGATATTAACAGGACAGTGAAATGCACAGAAAGAGGCCCTGCTCCCGAGATCATATTTAATTTTAGTAGATGGCTAAACATTTATCATCCATGCCCACTAAGTGGTCAGCGCCCGGGGATAGGCCGTTCTGTGGCTGAAAATCCCTATCTCCCAATCACACACTCTTTCACTTAGAACAGTGCAGTCCATGGGGTCACAGAGTCGGGCACGACTTCGTGACTGCTCTAAGCTCAGGCCTCGCTGACCAGAGGTGGAGCAACCCTGGATGTCACACCATGTCTAAGTCTCAAATATAAAAAAGTGCCACAGTCTGGGGCTTGCTTTTAACGGGGCTTCTGATGATTGTTTCAATTGTGTTCTAGGCCTGTTCCACGCCCAGCTCCTTGGCCTCTGGTCTCTCTCATAAGTGTGCGTGTTATGGGCAAAATGCAATGGCTTCTCCTCGACCAGTGCCCCAGTCCACAGAGATCAACAGTGCCCAGCTGTCTTATATGCCCTCAAGGATGGGTAGTGACTGAACACCTTGGCACAGAGGGCTGCGGCCAGGGTCTGCTGGGCAAGTCAACGCCTGCCACACCCAGCAGCTGCGGCCCCGAGGAACGTGGAACACAATTATTCCCAGGACAACAGAGATCACGTTGACTTTGGGTCAGGACCCAGGCCCGAAAGGAATTTTTAAGTCCTGGAAAGGACGCTTTGCCTACGCAGCAGCTTCACTTGGGGAGAAATGAATTCAAATCTAGAGAATGTTTTCACCAGGCGGGTTTTGCCTAATTATGCAATTTTCTTTTTGGAATGCTTTTTTTAAAAAAAAGATCCTTTGGGCTCTCAGGCCACCAGGATGTGAGTCAAACGAAAACTGGTGTTAACATCCCCCCTTCTTCCCTGGTCGAGACCATTGAGAGTCGGGAAGCAGTTGGCCCCCGACTCGCTTTCCGCCGGGCCACCCGAGGGGCGGGCGCCGAGGGAAACGTCACACCCTTCGGTAGTTAACAGCACAGCGCTAGGCCACCTTCTCCGGCCATTAGGCCCAGGGAGGGGCTGGCCTTTCAAAGACGTTTAATCCCCCGATAAAAATCATTCCTCAGCATCACGCCATTGAATTCGGGTTGCTATTATGCCGCACCAAATAATCGGAGGAAACGAGGAAAACTTGGGAATTTCCCGTGCTCCTGAAATATCTCCGAGTGTGTTCGCTGGGCAGAGAAGCCCAGGGGCCGCGAGGCCTCGGAACGACCCCGAAGGCGCCTTTGGCGGCTGGAGTTCGCTTCCAAGACGCAGTCCGAGACGTTTGGGAGCTCCCGACCGAGTTGGAGGGGGTGCCTCCCACTAACTGACTTGGTGCCCCGCCCCCTCCACTGGAACCAGAGCGCTTCGCCTGCTCCCCTATGATCCATCCACCCTGAGCACCAAGTATCTACCTGAAACACGAAAGGGGCGGGGGAGGGGGGAATTTTGCAAGAGCTTCGGAAACACAGTGGGCAAAGAAATACTCTGATGGGTGGATGTGGAGAAGGGGAGGGGGCGCACTAGGCTTCTACGATGAGAAAGTGAAACTCTGCGCTGTGGAAAGATGTCCCGCACCCTTCGAACCCACCCGTTGGGGTAACGGCGAAGTAACAGGGCTTAGGGTCTGACAGAGGATCCAGCCGAGACTCCTGGGGTCGTTTGGTGGGGGCCCGAGATGAAGGTGCCCAGACACCCGTGTCCTACAAGTGAACTCCTACCCTCAGCGTCGCCTGGACAAGGCGAGGAGCCCGAGAAGGTAAACCGAGAAGAGCTGGGCCTGGGCCAGGCCTCGAACCCTCTTCCTGGGTGGGAGTGGGGAGAGCGGTCGACCCCCCCCCCCCCGCCCTGTGCTCCCCGACCACCCATCTGCAGCACCGGCTCCAGGTACCCGGCCGCAGGTACGCAGACGCCGGAGACAAACAGGCGCCGGAGCGCGGCCTGGCGCCCTCGGGTCCCACACCCCCGCCGGCTCCCTCCCCCGCCGCCTGGGTTCTGTCTACTCACTGGCCGGGGGCGGGGAGAAGCGGGGATTCTGCATCCACGGGGTCCTCTCTGGTTTCTCGGGGCTCTCGGCTTTGACGAGCGCATCTTCTGGCAGTTTGAGGAGTCCTCCCACCGAGAAATGGCCGAGAGGCCGCGGCGAGGACGGCGCATCCGGGGCGCCCAACGACCCGGGCCGGGCACCTAGAGGCTGCGCGGAGCCGCCCGCCGCCTGTGCGCCCTCGGAGGCCGCCAGGACGCTGTCCTTGGCCCCGGGCTTCCTGTGATCGGCCATGAGCGCCTCCACGCTGAAGGGCAGGAGCGAAGGGGACACTTTGGGCTTGGCCCCCTCCTCGTCTGCGCCCATGGCGGCCGCCGTGGCCGCGGTGGTGCTGGGGGTCTGGCCCCCGCCGCCACCCGCCGGCTTGCCGAAGGCGGAGTCCTCCACTTTGACACCGAGTGGCAAAGAAGTCATGTCAGCAGCCGGGGCCATGCAGAGCCGGGCCCCCCCTCCAGCCGCAGCTCGGGCCAGCCGCCGGGCATGAGCTTCGGGCGAGCTGGGATCGCGGTCGGCCTCTGGGAGCGTCCGGGGCCCTGGCCGGGCGGGCTCTACCGCGCGCGCCTCCCGCCCCTCCCCAGAAGGCCAGCTCTGGCGCTCCGGGCCTGGTTATCCGCTGGCGCCGCCGCGCAGGCGGAGTTCTCGGGCGCACCAGCCGGCTCCGGGTCGGGCCGCGGCTCCCCAGAGAACTTGTTAATAAGGCGAGGCCAGCGCGGCGGCGGCCAATCAGCGCGCGAGGGGGCGGGCCCGGCGCGATCCATTGGGCCCCGTTCGGGCGGACTTGCCCCGAGGCGCGCTGGGCCTCGGGGCGCGTGGGGCTGGGCCAGGGCCCCAGGAGGGCAGAGGCGGGGAGTGGGAGCCGGAGAAACTTTCCTCCCAGCTACAGCCCGTGCCGCCCGTCCCTGTGTGGGTCCCCCTGGGTCTCTTATTTTTCTCTGTTCCTGGGGGACTTCCCATTGTGCTGTTTGCTTCTCTTCTAATCTACCCCCTTCCTCCCCTTCCCTTATCTCCCTTCTTTCCAACTTCTCCCTTTTTTTCTCTATTCCTTTCCTGTTTCTCTCTCCTACCTTCCGCCTTACCTTTCTGTTGTGTCAGTTACTTGGGTGTGTTTCTCCCTAGTGGATAGTGGAGGATGGTTCCCCTATTTACCACGATAATTGGAATTGAAGTCATTTCTTGTATATTCTTTTTATAGTTAAAAAAAAAAACCCTGCAGGCTTATTTATTATAGTAGAAAGACATAACATTAATTTCGTCTGTAAACACCTTCATTTTCTTCTGTTTCAATCTTCAAAACTTTACCTCTGCGTAAAAGTGGGCCTTTGTCTTCGAAGTGCTGGACTGAAGTTTGCCTAAGAAGCCACGTTCGCGTGGTGCTACGGATGTTAAGAATAAAAATGCATTATGTTATCTGGAATGCATAATCGAGTTTCTCGCTGTGAACTTTAGGGGCGGGGGTGGGGTGGGATTACAACACCTATACTGGCTACCGGCTAAGGGAAGGAGCTGGTCATTTTGATAAAGAATTCACTGAATATAAAACCAACAGAAACGACCCCAAAACACTGACCTGGCCTTAACGTGACCTCGATCGCGTGTCCGCAGAAACAATGATACGTCCCCATCTCTGGATCTGATCTTGGGGGGTTAGGAAGGTGTGGAGGCACATTGGGAGAGAGGGCGAAGAAATGAGGACACTTCCAGGGACGGATTCTCCACGCTGGGTATGAGAACTTTTATCCTGCCAATTTCGGAGGAAACGTGATTTTTATTTTTGCTGTTTAAAAAAAGAGGGGAACATGAGTTGGGGGGGGTGCGGTGTGCGGAGACGTAAGATCCACACAAACTCGGATCGTGGCTCCGCGGTTTTCTGCGCCTCTTTATGGCCTCTTATCCCGGGGCCCAGGCCGGCGGCTCCCCGGGAGCTGGCGGCGGTGATTGGCGGTTCACCGGCACCGGCCACTGATGGCTGCGGGGTTCTAATCTCCAGGAAACACAAGGGGCTGCTGCGGCCATTTAGGGGTAATTATCCGACCGCGGAGGGACAGCGAATTCCCTCGCCTTTTAACTGGGCGCAATAAAAACTGTAGATTAGGGGCGTCCAGATTAAGGAAAATGAATTACTAGAGCGGGAACTTTATTACCTGGATGGCGTCCGGGGTCTGGCGGGAGGGGTCGGGATGCGAACGCCGGGAAGATTGGCAGCCTCACAGAAGTCCGCAGGCTCCAGGACGTTAAGGCCTGGGGCGGGTTAGGGAATATCCTCGCGTCTGTGAAATTTACGCCGCTTCTGCAGACCTCCTGCACTCCCAAGCCCTGGGCAGGGTTTAGGGCCTCCAGCTCGCGTCTGGCCCAGCTGGAGGAGCGGCGCACGGACGCGGCCCCTCTAAAGACACGGGACCCCTGGGGGAGACAGGAGAATAGAGTCCTTCCTCCAGGCCAGGAAACCTAGGCCCCGAGGTTTGCTTGAGGGTTCAAGGATAAAAGGCCATATACTCCCACTTTAGAACTATAGGAACTGACACTCAGCGAGGCTCCCAGTCGGGATGGCCAACTTCTATCACCCGCATTTCCAATTAAATTCTCCCTGGGACAGGCACGCGGGAATTTCATTCTGCGCTAGGGGGTTGAAGAAGGAAAGACAAGCGAGGCCCCTAGGCTGTTTAGGTCAACCTTTTCAAATCGATCAGTGCGACTTTCTGTTGGGACTTTATTTTGTTCCGCCCTCGGCTCGCATCTCAAAAAGTTTGGCTTCCAGATCACTTTGTGAATCTGCTATATATCAGAACTTTCTCACTAGAAAATGCACATCAGCAAAAACAACTTCAAAGGAGTATCCCCTTGGAGTCCGCCAGATAAGACCACCTCCTCCCCTGCTTTAGGGCTTTAGGGCGGAGCTGGGGCTCGAACCCCAAGAGTGCAGGCGCGAGGCGCAGAGGAGGCTCAAAACTGTGTCCGGCGGGGGCAGCCAGGCCAGGCCAGGCCGCGGGCCGGGCGGCCGGGCGGCGGGAGAAGGGCCGCATCGCTAATTGCGGGGATAAACAATCTGTCACGATCCCTCAGCTCGCCTAATAGGCAGACGAGGATGTTGTTTTTAGGCGCCAGCGGCGGCCGGATCAAAGGCAGCAGCCGGCGCAGGGGCCCTTGAAGTCGCGCGCCCCCGCCTCCAGGGAGCAAACCGCCAGCGCCCGCAGCCCACGGCCCTGCCGCCGGTCCCTAGGTTTCGCGAGCCCGGCCCGAACCCCATAGCCTCTTTTTTTTTTAGGTTCGGCCTGGGTTCGTGTCTCCTCTGGCTCGGAAACGGCGGGAAGAATGCGGAGGAAAAGGGGTGCAGAGCGGTGGATTCCATGTGGAATCCGTGCTCGGAATCGCGCCGGGATTTCCACCGATCCGCGCCTGGGCTGCGGGGTAGGGGAAACGATGCCCACGGTCTCAGAGAAGGGACTTTGAGAAAAGGAACAAAATATCTCTCTCCCGGGGCGTGTGGTTCCCGCGGAAGGAAGGGCACATGTTGGGGGCAGTGAGAGAGCGCCTTCTCTGCGTTGATTTTTTTGTCTGGGCCTTTTCGGATTTCCCGGTTGGCGGGTTCCAAGAGCTGACAGGGCCGGGGGGCTGCGCCTGTTATCTCGCCGCCAGCACTAGCCCCCAGGCGCTTCTACTGCCGGCATTTCTCGGCGTGGCCGCGGCAGCCCAGAAAGCCGGGCTGTAATTCATGCCTGGCAAGGGCAGGGCTGGCTAGCCGCAGATAAAGCTCGGGGACTGGCGTTCGGCTTCCATGCTCTTGCACTCCGCTCCCCTCCCCTCCCGCATCGCTCCTTCTCCCCTGGTTCCGGGGCATCTTAAAGCACTCCCCGCGCCGCCGCTGGGAGCACCTCCGCGTTTCGGATCCTAAAGACGGCTTGTCCTGCAGCCACTCTCTGGGCAACTGGTTGTGGTGGTGTTCTTCCCCCTTCTCCCCCCCAATCCGCCCCCCCCCCACGCCTATTTTATAGGACTGTGTGGCGGCCGAGGAAAAGTGGTTTTTAGGTCCCCCCCCTCCTCGTGGGCAAAGATTCCTTTGGCGAGGCATCCCGTCTTAGAGACCGCCGTCTTTATCTGGGTGTTGGCGCGGCGGGTTCGAAGAGCCCGCAGCAAGATCCCTCACTTCTGGCATTCGTTGTCACCTCCGTCGGGTTTTTGTTTACGCCCCCTCCCCCGTTTCCCAATGCATTTTGTGGCCTCGACCCAGGAGTCCCGCGTGCATTTTTTAAAAATGTGCAGCTCAGTGGGATCCCCCGGCAATTAGCGAGCCCCAAACAGTCCTCTTTAATAGAATGAATGTGCTATGAAAACCGATTACCCGGAACGATTTATTTTGGTGGGAATTCACCAATCTTCAGGGGGGCGATGGAGGGGGAGAGAGGGGAGGTATTTTGTCATGGGAATGGAGGGGGGTTGACAAGTAGACAGCACGACCAGGGGATCCCCCAACCTGCGGAGGGGGGGCTCCCGACCCCAGTTCTCCCGCCTATTGGCCTCTGTCGCCTAGAAGTGAGCGCCTGGGAGTCAGAGGTTTGGGAAACTGGGAGTCACTGATGGAATCCTTTGGGAAGAGTTCACAGCTTTCCAGAGAAAGACACTGGAGAGCTCAGAACTCCAGGGAGTCTTCAGTTGTTGCCTGAATATCCACAGCGGAGCAAAAAAGCCTTCTGCTTGCCTGGGACCTGGGCAGAACTTAGGCCATTTAAGAGTTTTTGGTGCCCTTTTTAATACAAAGTAAAAAAAAAAAAAAAAAAAACTGGTTGTAAAAAATATTTTCTTCTTGCCATTCCTCCGCTTAAGCGGGCCCCACTTGTGCAGTGGAACTGCCCAAGTGCAGTGCATTTTACTCGGCGCCAGAGAGAAATCGACAAGTCCGACTCCCTGCTTCTTCCCCTTCCCGCCCTTCCATCCCCTCCCCCCTTGCTTCTTTCCTCCGGATCGGGCCTGGGCTTCCTTGTGTCTTTAAATTCGGAAGAGGGTGAGGGGTGTAGATCTGCGGGGGAGACAGTGGGCCCCCCTTTCAAATGGCCCAAATTAATGTGATCGCGACATGAGGGTGCACTTGGGGAAGATGAAAGCGGAGGCCGGCCGGCTCCTCCTAGAGCTCTATAATTATAGATAATATATCCCATTTCAAAGCAATTAGACCAATCAGGCGTAACGAACCACTTTGCTGCCGACGAATAACAAAGGCGCACGGTTATTTAAGCCCAGAGATGTCAGGCAGACCCCGAGGCTCCAGGGGCCGACCAAACATCTTCCATCCTGGCTCTGCCCACCCTGGGCCAAAGAAGGTTCTCCCTTCCCCACCCCCCACCCTCCACCTCCAAGCTCTGCCCACAGAGGGCCCCCTCTCAGTTCCGGTAGGGGCCTGGAGGGGCAGGGGGTTGGAAGGAGTGGGAGGAAGAGAATTGACTTTTTTTGAGCTGGGTGTCAGGACTCTTGTCAGAGGTTTCACAAACTTTATCCGCTTTAATCCTCTTACTTTGGGAGATAGGTATTATTATAGGCTTTCCCACTCTTTCCAGATGAGCGAACAGAATCAGAGAGGCTAAATATCTTGCCCAGGGTCACACAGCTAGTTAGCAGTGGCGCCAGGATCTGGACACGGGTGGGTCTGAGCCCCCAATCCACTCTTTTCACTCTGC